TTGGTAAAGACCAAGATAGAGCAGGACCTACGCAACAAGAGTTGTAGCTTTTGGGTCTGATAAGGTCAGTGAAATACCCTCAGGATTTATCCTGAGATCCTATACCTCAGATTGTGGAACCTTTGTCAGTGTCAGCCATGTGGATGAGTCACGGCCATTGCTTGGCTAATGTGCTCTCTTTGAAAGCCTGAGAGAATGTTTTCTCTCCATGTGACTCTCCTTAGGCACACTCTACATCATCGATCACTTTCTTCTTTGGCCCCATAATCTTGATCAGAAAATTTGGGACACTACTGAGTTACATGACGTTACATTACAAGTTCTCATATGTCCTGAGTCTTAATTGACCTTGGAAGGGTAGGGCCAAAATGTTGGCTTTCCTTCCCCCCTTTTTCTCTAATTTTGGTCTTCAAACTTAGGTTGTTAACCCTCCAGCACTAGTCCTTTTTTAAAATGCTGCACAATGTTATATGTTCTAGGTGACCTCTGTCATGTGTCTTGTCTCCTCACCTCCCATACTAGGGATTGAACCTAGGGCACTGGGCATGCTAGGCACATGCCTTACCTCTTATCTGTGTTCAATCTCAGCCCACAGTTTATTTAACTGTTGCTCTATCATTAAAAGACTTTTGAGGGCTGGGAGGATCGCTTGGCGGTCTATCAAACTCAGGATCTGGGTTCAGTCCCTGTAGCTACATGCCGTGCCAGCCCTGGAACTGGGTGTGGTGATGCATGCCTGTAATCCCAGCACTGGGAAGGCTGAGACAGGAAAATCACTACAGTCCAAGTTGCATAGTGAGACCCTGTACCAAATAAATGAATAAATGAATGAATGATTAAAAAACATATTTAAGGGGCTGGGGAGATTCTTGGTGGTCTAAGTGTCTGCCTGGCAAGCACAAGGACCCAAGTTTGGTCTCCATTACTGCATACTGTACTGGCCCTGCACCAACCTGGCTACTGAAATCATGCGTGGTGGCGCACACCAATAATCCCAGTGCTGGGGAGCTTGAGACAGGAGGACCGCTGTGAGTCTGAGCTGCATAGTGAGACCCTATACCAAATAAATAAATAAAGGAAAGGGTTTTTTTTGTTTGTTTGTTTTTTTTTTTGGTGGAACCAGGGATTGTACTCAGGCCCTTGCATTTGCCAGGCAAGTGCTTATTCTATTGAGCCATCTCCTCGGCAATGAAAGATTTAAAAAAATTAAAAATATGTATTTGAAAGGACATTTGAATAGTTTTCCAATTTTGGACTATTTAAAATATAAATGAGGCTGAATATTTTGTGTACATTTTCCTACATGAAAATAAGTTCTAGTCTTTCTGAGATTATGTCCAAGAATATATGTATCTTAGTTTTCACTGTTTACTGAGAGAAAATACCCAACACTGAAAATTAAGGAAAGAAAGGTTTATTTAGCTTACAGTTTGTGGAGGTTTCAGCTCATAATCAGCTGGCTCCAAGGCAGGGTGGCATGGCACTGGGGCAACACTTCAGGGTGGCCGAAGACAGAAAAGCTGCCAGAACAAACATGGAAGAGCACGCCTCTTCTCTCTTACGTTATGAGCAGGCTACCTGTCCTCGAGTGAGTGTAGTACTCACACCATCTCTGCGCCTTCTTGCACAGATTCAGGATGTTTTCAAAGTGAGGAGACTGGGCCGGGGAGATGGCTCAGTGGAATAAGTGCTTCCCTGGCAAGTGCAAGGGCCTGAGCTCAATCCCCAGTTCCACAAAACAAAAACAAAAGCAAAAACAAAGTGAGGAGGGCTGGTGAGATGGCTCAGTGGTCTAAAGCACCTACTTAGAACAAGCTTGGCAAAGCACAGGGACCGCGGTTCAATCCCCCAGCACCACATGCCAGCCAGCCCCGCCCCCTGGTGGGCTGAGCTGGCGCCACACACACACACACACACACACACATAAATAAATAAATAAATAAATAAATGCAATTAAAAAAAAAACCAGTGAGGAGACTGGCCCCTGAGAAGTCAGTTAATTAAAATTCTGAACTTCTCAAGTTGACACAGTGTCGACCATTGCGTATATAATGGGTGTTTTTTGCTACTGGTATTTGAATTTAGGGCTTCAGCAGGCACAGTGCTTTGCCACTGAGCTGCATCCTGGACCCTACAATATATATTGTATCTTGGATAAATACAAATTCTACCAAAATTTAGATTAATTAGCAGAATTTCTGTTAAAACTCCAGGAGGTAAAAACTTGTATTATTCATAAGTTCTGAAATGGGAAATGTAAGTGTTTTGAAGTATTTTTCATGCATTCATTTTATTCTACTGTAATAATTCGAACATTTTTCTATGTTACCAATAAAACTAGCTGATGGTGAGAAAGAGGATCAGTTTAACGGCAGCCCTCCCAGACCACAGCCAAGAGGACCAAGAACTCCTCCGGGGCCACCTCCCCCTGATGATGATGAAGAGGAGCCTGTGCCTCTGCCAGGTTTGAGGGGTGTCATGCTGGGGATGCTTTGTAATTAAGGAAGGTTAGAGCATGGTAACCAAGTCTTAATGAATGCATCTTGTCCCGTGTTCCTTTGTGTTTTCTGTTAACAATGAATTTGTTTAAAAAAATATAAATCAGTTAATTCACTGGAAGCTTTGTCAACGTGGATTTGAAAATAAAGTGTCTATGTTCTGTGATGGTGTGTGCAGATGAGTGCTAGTTATAAATAAGCATGTGCTCATTCTGGTCTTTTTTTTTTGAATTTAGGACAGGGTCTACAGGCTCTCACTACACAGATCAGACTTGTAGTGATTCTGCTGTTTTCAGCCTCCCAAGTGCTGGGGTTACAGGCGTGTGCCACCATGCCCAGTCTCAATTGCCATCTCAGCATGCCCTGGGGGCAGGGCTGGCATGGCACGCTGGAGATCGAATCCCGGTCCCTGCACCTGCCTAAGCAGGCGCTTTAGTCCACTGAGCTATCTGGCCACCCCTAGGCTGGCCTTGAACTCACTATGTAGCTAGGCTGACCTTGGATTTGTGACAGTCCTGCTTCAACTTCCTGAGTGCTAGGCTTGCAGGCATGCATCTCCATTTTGGGCTTGTGTATCTACGTAATAGATAAAAAGAAAAGGAATAGCTTCTGGTCCTAGAACATAAAATAGTACAATGTATAATGTACTTTTAGAAGCACATAATTCTGACATTTTTAATTTATTTTTGTGCAGGGTCTCACTACGCAGCTTGGGCTCGTAGTGATCATCCTGATATCTGAGTGCTGGGATTACAGGCATGCACCACCATGCCCAGGGGTGGGGCCGGTGGGGCATGAGGTGCCAGAGATTGAACCCTGGCCCCTGCACTTACCTAAGCAAGCGCTTAGTCTGCTGAGCTATACCGCCTCTGACATTTTTTAAATGGGTTATTTATGGACTAAATCATCCAAAATGCCACTAAGTAGTTATAGATCCAGTCATGTTAGCTTGTGTTATTTAAGCCGTTAAAATAATCTGTGTCTTGAATACTATTTTTTTCAGTGTCTGGTGACAAGGAGGAGGATGTTCCCCATAGAGAAGATTATTTTGAGCCCATTTCTCCTGATCGGAATTCTGTTCCCCAGGAAGGTCAATATTCTGATGAAGGAGAGGTAGAAGAAGAACAGCAAGAAGAAGGAGATGATGATGAAGATGATGTGGATGTAGAAGAAGAAGAGGATGAGGATGAGGATGACCGCCATACCGTGGACAGTATCCCTGAAGAGGAAGAGGAAGAGGAAGAAGAGGGTGAAGAGGATGAAGAAGGTGAAGGTGGGTGGTATTTAGTTAGGACTTTTTGATTTTAAGTATTAAAAACTAGGTGTCACTTTGAGCAGTTCAAAATAATTTATAGCAAAGATAAATGGATTTTTAAGAACCTCAAAGGTTCTTTAGGCCTCAAGACATGAGTACAGATGAGCTTTCCATCTCATTTTCTGTGTCTATTTTATTCTCTTGTCAGCTGTTGTTTATTTGCCCCTCAGCTGTAATTTCCTCTGTTTAACTAGCATAGACTGCTGACTATCTCAGTCCCATTTCCAGTTTTCTAGGAGTTTCTGTTCAGCTTGCCACGGTGTGGTCTGCCCCTTGATACCATCAGTTTTGCCTAGGGAAACAGGGTCACATAGTAATACATAGTTGTGTGGGATTAAGATGGAATTCTAAAAGATGTCTGACACTTTGATATTCTAGAAAAATGCTGTATTAGTTTTGGAAATTTGAGAGGAAAAGTCACAGTTACCCAAGGCTGTATGGTAGTGTATTACTGTGCTTGTAGTAGGACTGCAACCTAAAATAATAACTTAAAATAATTAGGTATCATTTTTCATTTGAAAGCAGAAAGTGAGGTATTTGAATTAATTGACTTAATTAGCCCAAGAATTAGCATTTAATGTTAAAGTATTTATACAGAATATCATCTGCCATTTTTTTCTACACAAAAAATTACGGAGACCCTTTTACATAGTACACAAGGAGTTAGATTACAGTTAGAGTGATGCTTTT